AGTGAGAAAGACTACTCTTAAAACTTTATTTTCTAATTACAGTACGTACATATCAAAAGTTTTTAATAACTTCTGCCGATTGGCTCCCCTCATGATTACATTACATCACCACCCTTCTCCCAATAAACACTGTTTTCAAGAACGGCCCGCTCCACCATTAGCATTAGATTCTGAATTAAGATTATTTATCTTTTTATAGGTTCTACGATTTGAGCTTTATAGAATTTTTTTTTAATTAATTTTATAAATAATTATAGATTATTTTAAAAAATAATAAATAAATAAAAACTGTTTTCAAAATTGACCATAAAGAAGACTTAAAAAAAAATTGACGAAAGGAAATTATATGGAATAGAAAAAACAAAGAAAAATCGGATTAGGAGTGACTCTAATATATACTGAAAATTGTTTAACGGTCTCTAAAAGCAAAATTTTTTTTAGACTTAATTAATTCTGTTATTTTGATATATAATTATAAAGTTATTATTATAATATATTATTATATGAGTATAATATGTTATTAAAAAAATAAATATATTTAATATTACGAATAAATTATAAATAAAAAATTAATTATATAATAATATATCATATTAATATTACCTAATATTATAAATATAATGGTATAAACACCATTTTGAGGCTCTTCATCTTATGCTTTTAAAGCAAAACAAAATCTCTCCTCAAGTTTTACGGAAGAATTTGAGAGTCCTAAGGGTGCTTGAATTATCCTTGTAAATATCAACTAATAGTGATTATTATTTACCACTATAACTCAAATATTTTTATTCATATACCACCAAATACTCCTATAATTAAGATTTCAGTTTTTACTCTCTTTTTTTTTTAACATGAATCTAAGATTAATTGATTTATTTGCAATTTATAGCACAAACAACCTTATCACAAATTCATATTAGCGGTTAGGGTTTCAGGTTTAAAACTTTTTAAAGAAATTAGAATTATCTTGTATACTCCATTGATGAGTGCTAATCAATAAAACTGGTAAAATCTTTGATAATTGTATCAAAGATCAAAAGGTCAGATCAATCCTAGCATAGCTCGAATTGGAAACAAGAGATTAAACGAAATAATCAT